TAGGAAATATTGTCTCCAACAAAAACCCGACACGATATACAAATGAAAAATCACCTTCACAATATAGTTGATTTTTCACTCAAGGAAAAAAAATAAAAAAATATATAGTAAAGAAATTTAAAAGAAACAAATGTAAACAAAAAGTGATATAAGAAGAAATGTTAGTTGCACAGGCAATGTTTGCTGGGCGACTATATCAAAATAAATTATTGTGTATGATCGACAATGATACAACTATAAGCGTTCAACGGTGTGAAACTAGGATCACACACACACACACACACACACACACACACACACACACACACACATATATATATATATATATTCAAAAACATTATGTGTTTTCATGCGGGAAATACCAAAGATAGTTTGCGTGTTCCGAGAAATAAAACACAAAAAAGGGCCAAAATAAAAAGTGCTTGTATGCACCCACTGTCAAGGGAAATGATAGAAACCACATCTATGTGATGCTAAGATAAAAACCGTCGATAACCACCGACAACCCTTTCCCAATTAAGTTGCGGGCGCTTCATACCTCTTGCAGTTGCGCCTGAGTATGATGAGTTGCAGTTGTACGACTGAGTATGATGAGTACAGGCGTTTTCTCAAGAGGTCCCAGTTGCATGTGCCCGGGTTTTGTCAACTCTTGTCAACAAACACATCCCCCTAGTTGCGAGTCGATGGGCAACTTACAACTGAAGACCCTCAACAAAAAAACACACACACACCCTAGTTACAAGTTGCCCATCGACTCGCAACTGGGGGTCCTCAACAAACACACACACCCCTAGTTGCGAGTCGATGCTTGACATGCAACTAGGGACCCCTTGAGAAAAAGACACACACACACACACACCTCTAGTGCAAGTCGGTTATCGACAAGCAATTGGGGACCCTCAACACACACATCCTCTAGTTGTGAATTGATGGTCAACTTGCAACTAAGGGTCCTCAACAAACACACACACCCTAGTTGTGAGTCGATGATTGACATGCAACTGGGAACCCCTTGAGAAAAAGACACGCACACACACAAAACACACACACACACACAAGCACGCACACATACCCCCTAGTTGCGAGTTGATTGTCAACTTGCAACTGGGGGTTCTCAACAAACACACACCTGCTAGTTGCGAGTTTGATGGTCAACATGCAACTAAGGACCCTTGACAAAAAGACGCACACACACACACACCTCTAGTTGTGAGTCGGTTATCAACATGCAACTAGTGACACACACACACACACATCCTTAGTTGCGAGTCGATGAGCGGGGTGCAACTGGGGGCCACAACAAAACACACACCCTCTACAAACACACACACACGCGCGCGCGCGCGCATCCTTAGTTGCGACTTGATGAGCGGGTTGCAAC